GTATGTACATTGCAGAATATCTCCAAGAAACCACAACAAGGGGAATCTAACGCTGTAACAGCACTGTAACAAAAATCTGGACGTTACTTTCTAAGACGAGTGGCTAAGTCAAGACCCAGAGGAGACGATTATACATGTGTCATTATTCCAATATATACCATTGTTTGAAATATAATCAATTTATTGGCGAAGTCTTGAAAATCAGAAATTCAAAATAATATCTTTGGCTTCAGCAATTTGAAAGCCATTGTACTTTAGACTACAGGTACATACTTATTAAGATGTACATGTACTTGCTTATATGTACTTGTTTTGAAATAAATTCTTACTGCATATTCAAAAAGTAGGATTTTTTCATATAATATTTTTGTGAGGTTGTTAGGTCATAAATTCACAAAATAAGTCAATAAATGTGTACGAGTGTATGAACCCTGTAATAGCTCGGCTTAATCTTAGATCAGGTTGCATGAAAATTGCATCAAGAACTCAATCCTGATGCATTCCATAACAACTCGTCAGTTACTACTTAACAATTCTAGGAATTCTTTTGAGATATTAAGTGATGTTCTGGAAATCCATCATGCAATTGTATTGTACATGCTTACACTCCCCAGAGAATAAATAAAAACTTCTTGCGATTACTTCTGTTAATGCTTCAGGTTACAACGGTGGTAAAATAAGTATATACTGTAAAATACTTTATTTTAGCTAGAATTAATTTTCGCTGAAAAGACTTTTTGTGTGTTTTGTATGGAATATATTTTCACTAATTTTTGGCGAGTTAAATGGAAAATATAGGAAAAAAGGTATATTTGCTGGATTTTATTTTCACTGAATTGATCGATCACTTCAGCGAAAATTAATTCCAAGCGAATATAAAGTATTTTACAGTAGTTGGATTTGGTTCTCATTTATTTCCAATTTTGGATGAGCTGCTGGAAATGTACACTTAGTAAAAACTGAAATTTGATTAAAATTTGATTCCAAACCAAACTAAAATTTGATTAAATGTTAATCTAAACTAAAATTTGATTAAAATTTAATCTATTTATAAATATTTATACAAATTAGCAACATCAAAGGTAATCCAAATTGAGTGTTGTAGAGCATGGAGTAAACATTTTGAAAATGCACTTGTAGCACTTGACAATTTATATTCTTGTAAACAAAAATAATACTATTCAGTTGACTTATGACTACAAGCAGGTAAAACTGTATAATAATAAAGTCTTCTCCAGAATACCAAAAAGTATGTACTCAGGCAGTGCAGGGTCTCATCAGCGTACAAGTCTATTGTTATGATTACCAATACTTCAAGGATGTAGTGTTCTAGTATAGTTAGAGCCATTTTATAGCAACTGCCCAAAGGATTTCATTACAATGATAGACAGTCTTTGTATGGAGGTTGGATTATTTTATTTACTTATGGATCATAAACTGCATTTGAGAAAATAATTGTTCAGAAAATAATGAAATGGTACTGTTTTCTAAGTTTGAATTAATTGATGAAAATCAGATTAGTTAATTATTTTGGTTTCTAAACAAAGACAAATCTGCAAATGTATTGCTGAAACAAAGGTGCGTTTTATACAGTCTGCTTACATGTATATTATGTCTTAGGACTGCCTATAAGTGGTAACTAATCCACCTAGTGGTCTTAATATACAGGTGGTTTACACAAAGACAGATTTGACTGGGATACAACTTGAATGTATGTTTTACATATCAACCTGAATTGATCTTATGCAGTAAATCATATAGCCTGTCATTAAATTGATGGTTTCAGTTTCATGCTTTTTATCAGTTTGTCTTGACGATTTTGCAATTTTCCATGACTCGAGAAAGTTTGTCTCTCCCAAGGTGGTTAACCGTAGGTGTTAAAAAGCTTCCCTAGTTCCTCTAGTTGAATGTCATGGTATGTTACATTCAATTAACTATATACTGTCTGTTTTGCATTTTGAGTACAAATGCATCATGTATTTCAAGTCAGTGGCAGCCATTTTAACAGTAAACGCATCAGGTTTCCATTAACTACACTCATTGACTCAGCGTCTAAATTCATTTTGACGTTCAGCTTTTTAGAGACTTGCAAGTTAATACATAATATAAACCGTCTTTGATGAGAAGTGAAGGTATTCTAAAATTATATGTCCAAATCTATCAATCAAATTTGAGTTGAAACTAAATTATGTTTCTTGCTCTCACCTCAGTGTATGTCTTGTTTATTTGTTTGCATGCAGGGGTGGGGGGTAGGGATTTTGGTTGTCAAATTTATTTTTAGTACAATCCCCTCAACTAACAAGCTAAAGAATGACCTCCCAGGGAAAAAAACTTGTTTTTTCAGGTTTGTTTTTCCTCCATCATAATAAAACAGATTTAAAATATGATGTAGTTAAATTTGATCATGTGCTCTGCAATTAATATATAATTGTTAAAATGATGAAATATTATGGTGCCATACATGTAATCTTAGTACGTATTCTACACCAATGCTGGTTGTAGTTTATGAACACAGTCATGCACCAGCGAACCCCTCGTAAATAACGTCTGTCATTTGTTATTTTCACAGTGGATGTTTGTTTACATAGACTTCATTTTGTCTAGATGTCCTGTGAGGTGTGGTTGATTATCCCACTATCTGTGGGTATTTTGTACCTGTAGTGTTCTTTTTAAGAGTGTTCATGTGTATACATATATATATACACACTTCTTCTAAGTGTTTGAATAGAGATCTTGACATGTCATTGTTATTACTGTTAAATGGTACATGTCAAGTTGATGGGGTTAATGTTCCACTACACCCAGGAAGAACAGTCTTTTGTTGTGGAGTTGTTGACTACTTTTTACATATTTATTACCGTAGACGATTGCTATTTTCCATTTATATTTATAACCTAGTTTAGCTGCATTAGCTCGGTGACAGTTTTTGATGATTTTCTATCAACTGTTTTTTTCCTCATACAATGTACTTTCCATGGAATGCCTTCCGTCAGTGTTTCTGCTGAGACTGGTGGCGAACTCGTGCATCGCCATTAAGGAAGTGAGGTAGTATTGGATGCATATAGATGTAGCAATGTTAAACTAATTATAGTGAAGAGCTTAGGTAACAAGTTTAGAAATTCTGGTTACATTTACAGGTTTTTGGTCATTAACAAAAACACTATCACGTTTTTATTGTTCTCTTTTGAAAGATAAAATGCTGTGGCTAAGTTGCTCATGAATTTTTGTTTATGATGGAAATCATTCTGAAATTCAATGTCTGTTGAAAGTATCAATTGGTCAATTGTACCGTACTGGTGTTCATAAACGCCCATGTCAGTTCAAAGTGTAGAATAAAGACTTGGAATTTAACTTTCAATGATTCAAAAAATAACACAAGACATATACAAAGTGGTGGTTGTCATAATGCATTGTGTTCTTGTATTACAACACATGTAAAATACTTAGTTTACATGAAGTTTGAAGGCGTGTTCTATGACGACAACTGCCCTTTAACCTTCTCACGACCAGACATTCTCGCCCACATTTTTGGCGTTTTTTTCTTGTATTCTGCAATATTTCTGGAAATGAACCCTAATTTTGGAGGCAACAGACAAAATTTAAGTCCATTTTCAGTTTTTATTCAAAAAATGTGTATTTTTGAAGGAAAGTGCACATTATAAATGGGACTACTTTGTGATTCTGTGATGAAAAGGGAGAACTTGTACTGGTGGTAAAAAAGGAAAGTTGCACAGTATTGTATACATTGTGTAGTTTGACATTTGTATCAAAAAGTACTTGACCTGATCAGGCGTTCAAAATGCCTACCAGACATCAGAAATTTGCTGGTACATGTATGCTTTCAAAATGTCCTAAATTTGTTTAATCATTCAAAATAAGAAATACCAAAGTGTTTACTGTTAATTTTACTGTTTTATACATAAAATATGGCAAATTATTAGAAATCTTGCATGACAAATTGTCCTAGGCTAATTTTTAGACAACCCAATCCCTATTGGTACATTTACAATATACATTGTACATGTATTATTATAGTGCATTGTTTAAAGTACATCTTTGTTGTGATCTTTGTTTTTGGGTCTATCATTTATAAGTACTTTTAAACAGGGTCAGGTCAGGTAAACACTATGTAGAGTATGTCATAAAGTTTATTGAGATCATCTAATACAGTATATGGCAGCAGCCAAGAGGATAATTATAGACTACCACCATGTCCATAATACTTGATGCATTAACAATTGCTACTGTAAAATCTGTATTAGAAACCGGGGCTTCTATTAAAATGGTACAATGCAATAGAGGGGATGCGGCTTCTATTAGAGCACCTAAACATATGAGAGATGATGAATTTTTGGTTCTCAAATATTCAAAAAGAATGGGTGCGACTTCTATTAGGGATGCGGCTTCTAAAACAGATTTTACGGGTAATACCACTCAGATTGACAATTCTTGTTACCATTTCCCCAAATTTTCTACAAGGAATTTGTTTCTACATGATATACCAGGTTTTAAATATGGCAGTGCCCTAGTGGTATTTGAGACTTCCTTAAAATGTTTTTTTTTTTGTGTACATTTAGCTGTAGCTGTAACAAATTAGGTTTTCAAAAAGGGTTGCTCAGTTACGCTTCCGTTTCAACTCGGAGTGCTGCATGCCTTCTATCACTTGCTTGAAATTTTTTAAATACAGAAATTTTCTAATCAATAAAATCCCACTAACGAATTTGACGCTTGATTTATCCGGTATCATTTTACCAAGCGTTTACCCCCACCCCCGATATTCAGTGACTTATTTTACAATGTCATAAGTCAATTACAAATCATATTAGGATCGATGTAATAATATAACACGAATGGTGTACGTTGCAAAACAAGTTAACAATTATGCAAGTTTTTCAAATATTAATTTTAAAAGTTTTAGGTTTACATATTCATTTTAAGCCAATAGACGCAAGTCAGTTGTATTTATCTGAAAACTAATTCAATTTCATTTTGTATTACAGGTCACTTGGACTGTTTGTATTTAGTGTGTTTTACCTGAAAGTAAAGGCTATATTATTCACTAAAGGGTGTTTCTAGGTAAGTGATTCCACTTTGTCACTCTTCATTTGTATCACCTTAAGAAGCTTTCACCCACATAGATGTAATTTATCTGTTCTTTTGAGAGTACATGTGAGCATGGAAGGTACTAACCGTTAGTACATTCCATGATGTGTGAGTAAACACTTAAGCAGTATCTATTTTGGGCAAGAAGTGCTGCCTGCCCTGAAGGTAGAATTTCTTGTGGGTACATGCTCTATGTTGTAAGTATTTCGGGGGTTTAGTTGTCTCAAAATTGCCGTTGGAAATTTTGTACAAAATGGCAACTAGTTCCATGATATATTACTTTGTGAAACAATAAATTTAACTTTTTCACCTCCAGAATTTCTTGCCCAATGTTTTCTTATAATCTTCAGTATTTTTGTATTTTGGAGCCAACAGACAAAATTTGAATCAATTTTCAGTTTTTATTTCAAAAATGTTACTATTTTGTCCAAATCTCCTGAATAAAAATGCAGACTATAAACAGAACTATTTTGTGAATTTTTGATGAAAAAAGGGAACTGGTGGTGAAAAGGTTAAATGAAAAAATTTATGCCCATTGTCGAAAGTGATTGAACAAAATCAGGATGTTTTGGAAAATACCAGTAAATTGCTCATGTAGGATGGGCGTCTGAATAAATATTTATATTCTATATAAAATGTAAAATTTGGTGATGAAATATCAAATTATTGGAGATAATAATTCAATTTCAGGTGCAGCTGGTCGCTATCAAATCTATTCAGTGTCTGTTGCTTCAGGAAATAATTATTCTTATGCTATTTCATCATGTATGTAACATCTGATAATATTTGTCATGCTTTGCATAATGTGGTCCCTGTGTATGAGTCACTCTCTACTTGTATATTTTCAAGTCTCAGTGAAATTTTTTTTTTATAAATAGTAGCGCTGTTTTTCTGCCACTTGTTTATCCATTAGTGACACAATATTTTTGCATTTTCATGTCATATGTAACGTAACATTTGCAAATTGAATTGTTAAGTCTGTGACATCATGAGGATGCCAATAAAAAGTACCATAACGATAACACTGTGAAATACTTTATTTTAGCTGGAATTAATTTTCGCTGAATAGACTTTTTGTATGAAATTTGTTTTAACAAAAATTTTTGACGAGTTGAATGTAAAATAAAGGAACAAAAGGTATATTCCTGAATAATTCTTTCAGCGAAAATTAATTCCAAGCAAAAATAAAGTACAGTACCATACCAATACAGATATATATGCAATGACCACTTTTAACACCTATTTTAATAAACATTGTTTATTTTTTAAGATAAACCCATTTGTCGACACCCATAAAAAACACTTGGCATATAACCTGGGATGTCCCAAACTGATTAAATATCTGAAAATAAAAGGCAGGCTTATACCCAGAGGGCGCTAATGACCTGAGAAATATGGTATTTTGAAAAGTTGTAAGTCTAGTATTGGGGAACCCATCCAGCTGTGTTTGTATTTTATAGCCTAGGACAAAATATATTACAAATAAATTATGTTCTCTTTAATAATTTCTCGTAGTTTTGAATACTGATTTTGGTAAAATGGTTATTTTAGGGTAATTGATAGTGCAGTTGGCCACAGTCAATTTGGAACCCTGCAAGTAATACTATTTCTGATTTAACAGAATCTTACCTAACCTAAAATGAATTAACAAAAAAGTTTATTAAACTTAAAGTGCAGTTAAAAGTGTAACAATAACAAATCAGTACAAGTTTTTGTGCACTTTAAAATTCCACAAAAAACAAACACCAGCTCTTTAGATATATGCTTGTAATTTCAAAGTTTAAACTTATGTCACTGACTCTAACACTGTCGAAACCAATCACAAGCATGATCACACAATGTTTTTACGTTTCATTTCCGACATACTAAACCAGCCATCATCCACAGGCCTGTTTCAGTTTGTCTTTGAGA